TAAGAGCTTAAAAGGGTTTGGGGTTGTGGTGCCTGCAGCTCAAGGAGGAGGGCGCCAGCCCCATATACCGGGGTAGCAGGTTCAAACCTGGCCCTGGCCAAAAACTGGAACAACAACAACAACAAAAAAGTTTGGGTATCACCAGATGGTGGGGTCTTGGTGCAAAAGAATGAAGAGGCCTGGCCCAAAGTCTGTGTCGGAGGACCTAAGAACTCTGGAAACAGCCCTTCTGAGTAAAGCTTGGGTGTGTATTATCATAAAATGGGAAAGGGGAGACAAAAGATGCTTGCCTAATATTAGAACTGATTAGGGAGGACATGAGAAGGTCATATAAACTGTTGCCAGCTTTTGTTCTTGCAAAACCACAGACCTTGAGCACAACCTCTGCCTCAGCTTCAAGAGACCTTTAGAATCTAGAGAATATCATAATTATTATTGCCACCCCTCAAATACACATTTTCCCTTGGAGGCCAGTCATGCCATTCTCATGATTCACCAGGTCTCTTATGCAGGAAGCGAGTCTTATGCTGAAGATCAGGGCTCAGTTTCCCCTATAAGACTTAAGTGATTATGTATTATGACCAGTACTTTTATCTAAAATTAGCTCAAACAATTTTCCAGTATGTTCTTTAGTTTCTATTCTGTGATGCTCACTCTATACTTTGTGGTTACCTAAAACAGGTGTTATCTATCCCCCCACAACAATCTTAATTTTTTTTTTTTTTTCCAGTTTTTGGCCGGGGCTGGGTTTGAACCTGCCACCTCCTGGCATATGGGGCCGGTGCCCTATTCCTTTGAGTCACAGGCGCTACCCAACAATCTTAAATATTTAAGCTAATTAACATTTTATTTTACTGAAGCCTTTACTTCCCACATCACTCTGATCTGAATTTTATCAAATTTCATTTTAATTCTGTTATATTATGTATCCTGCAAAAAGACTGAAATAAGTTAAATTGCCTAGGCCTTAGCTTTATCATCTGTAGTTATTTACACTTATTTAATAACATTCTCTCAAAATGTTTTAGCATTTCATAATTCATAAATATTGTTAAAATGGCATTCCTGCCACACATAATACTTTTGCTATGCTACCCACAGATCCTAGAAAAAAAGACATACACAGAAGAAAATGTCTTTAATTGGACCAATAATGATTTCTTCTAACCTTTTTTTAGTGTACAAATATGCTTTTTATTTGAAGAATTCACTTTTATTTAATGAGAAAGAGGTAATGGAAAGTTTTGATATAAATACTATAAAAGAAAAATGGGTTGTACAGAAAAAAAAAAAAAGATTAAAGCCTACCCTTGAAGAAAAAACTGTAACTTACCTTTCCTTTATGTTTTGGACTTGTCTGGCCTACAAGTGAAGCATGATAGATGAGACCATATTTAGGCGTATCTCGTCTAGACTTGAGGGCTCTGAAGAGTGCCTTTTCTGCTCCAAGAATCTGAACTGTAGAAGCTGCGTGTTTGGCCAAATTCAAAAGAGAACCTATGGAAGAAAAATAATAGTTACAAAAGACCCATAGTGCAATTATCATAGGCATAATAAATAAATATCTCACATATCCAGGATTTCATTATCCAGAGTTCCCTAACATTTCTGATGTTTCATTTGTGACTTTCATTAGCATGAGCAGAGATTTGTAATGAATGCCTAAGAAAAACTGAAAGTTGGCTCGGCGCCTATAGCTCAACCGGCTAAGGCGCCAGCCACGTACACCTAAGGTGGTGGGTTCGAATCCCCAGCCCGGACCCGCCAAACAACGACAGCTGCAACCAAAAAATAGCCGGGCGTTGTGGCGGGCGCCTGTGGTCTCAGCTACTTGGGAGGCGGAAGCAGGAGACTCGCTTGAGCCCAGGAGTTGGAGGTTGCTATGAGCTGTGATGCCAGGACACCTCTACCCAGGGGGACAGCTTGAAGCTCTGTCTCAAAAAAAAAAAGAAAAAGAAAAACTGAAAGTTAAGCTTATGTGTTCCATGTTACTTACTAGCCGGAGACAGTATTACTATTCTAAATTCCATCAGCATACTATAGGAGTGATAAACATGCTACATATATACCAATCTAGCCAATTTCTGAGACTTTGGGTATTATCTCTATCATCTATTAATCTATATCTCTACTGCTTTTATTTTTTTAACTGCAATTGTCATTGTTGTTTAGTTGGCCCAGGCCGGGTTCGAACCTGCCAGCCTTGGTGTATATGGCTGGCACCGTAATAACTGTACTACCGGTGCTGAGCCTCTATTGCTTTAAAGATGAAAAAACCTACAAATAAACAAATGTATCAAGACACCTCAGTACCCTAACTATGTGATAGAAAACAAATTTTATTTGCCCCTGTTCTTTCACAATGGATTAGGAAGAAATAAGCTAGAAATACAAGGTAGTCTCTCCTTATCTATAGTTTCACTTTCTGTAGTTTCAATTACTTATGGTTAACTACAGTGTGGAAATGGAAAATTACAGAAATAAACAATTTGTAAGTTTAAAATTTTTTGTCGCACTCAAGTTGCCCAGGACAAGAGTCATCCCTTTGTCCAGAGTATCTACCAATGAATATGCTAGCTGCCCATTCGTCATTTAGTACTCCTCTCACTCATGCAGGATGGCAGTGCCTGTGTTTACATAACCCTTACTTTATTCAATAATGGCCCCAAAATGTAAGAGTAGTGATGCTGGCATACTATCATAATTATTCTATTTTATTAGTCACTATTATTAATCTCTTACTGTGCATACAAATTATTACTGTGTTTATAAATTAAACTTTATCATAGGTATATATGTACAGAAATAAATACAGCATATTCAGTGTAGGGTTCTGTGTTATCCAAAGTTTTAGGCATTCAGGGGCTGTGTGGGGCAGCATTGTTATAATAACTAAGTTACCCAGATATTTAGTAGTTGCATTTTCTGCATAGAACATATGTTAGAAAACACACTCAAGATCAACACTCTGAACTCTACCACTAGAGACATTTAAAAAAGTGTAACAAACACATCTCTTTGTTAAGCCCCATATCCCTTATGCTACAAGTTTAGTCATACATATGAATCTTCTATTTCAGGTCACTTGAATGAAATTATTTGTCTGACTAATAAGCTAAAGAGCAGCTAAAGGAGTGATTCCATTTTAAACACTTTGATGATGTAGATAATGAGATTTGTTATCACAGTTTATAACAAAGTCTCCAGGAAAATAAAATAATGAATTGATACTTCCTTTTATTTGCAGACATTCAATTACATAGCACTTTAATGGTAGCATATTATCCTTACACTATCAACATATGTGTTCACTATAAATCAGTTAATAAAATTTTTGAAAGTCAAATATACTAAAACAGCATCCTCAATAGAAACAGATAATTTATGATGAGTATATCTAATTTGTGATTTCTTTTTTTTTTTTTTTTGAGACAGAGTCTTAAGCTATTGCCCCGGGTAGAGTGCCATGGTGTCATAGCTCACAGCAACCTCCAACTTGGGCTTCAAGCTATCCTCAGCTTCAGTTTTTCTTTTTTATTCTTTTTTTTTTTCCTTTAAAGAGACAGTCTCATTTTGTCGTCCTTGGTAGAGTGCCCTGGTATCACAGCTCACAGTAACCTCCAGCTCTTGGGCTTAGGTGATTCTCTTGCCTCAGCCTCCCATGTAACTGGGACTACAGGTGCCTCCACATCGTCTGGCTATTTTTTGTTGCAGTTTGGCTGGGGCCAGGTTTGAACCCACCACCCTCAGTATATGGAACCAGCGCCCTACTCACTGAGCCCCAGGCGCTGCACAGTTTTTCTATTTTTTAGTAGAGACCAGGTCTCGCTTTTGCTCAGGCTGGTCTCAAACCTGTAACCTCAAGCAATCCATCGGCTTCGGCCTCCCAGAGTGCTAGAATTACAGGCGTGAGGTATTACGCCTGGCTTCATTTGTGATTTCTTAAAATTGCATTCAAAACTTGATCTGATGGGTTTTAAATATTATGAAAATGTTAACTGATTTAATTCCCCCATTCATACGATTATTATAATTGACCTTGACAAACTTCTAATAATGGACCACAAGTGTCTCAGAAGAGGTAGTGACTAAAAATGCCTCCATTATCCAAAAGGAAATCAGGCAAACAAATAAAAATCATCATCGAACACTTGGCCCTTAGCCCTCATTCATATACCATCTATTTGTTTTGTTAGTTATCTAAAACTATTTTAGTTACTGTAAAGTTAAAAAACAAACAAAATAAAAACCTCATCAGAAAACTCAACTACAAACTCATGTTTACAAATTACATTAAAACCATCACCTGCATGAGCAATAAGCCGAGCTCCAACTAATTCCCCAACCATGACTGTAACATTGGGTGCAATGGCCATCATACGATTTTGTAGATATTCATAGAGCTGGGTTCTATATTCAGAGATTTCAATTACCTAGGAATAAAGAAAATGAGTTAAGTCACAAATACGTTATGAGCAAAACAGTATAAAATTCATAAAAGCACTATACCC